ATATTTACATATTTATGGTAGAGGACAAGGACTCTACCATACTGCAAATGTAAATGATGTTCACACATGGTTCAGTATGAAAAACACACAAAACGAAGCAGAATAGGATAGAGAGAGGCTTCTATAATAGACAAATTAAAAAACAAAAAAATTTATTTACGAATAACTAAGTTGGCCAGGCACAATGGTACACGTTTTTAATCTTAGCACTTGGGAGACACATGCCAGAGGACCTCTGTGAGTTTGAGGCCAGAGCTATGCAGTAAGATTCTATCTCAACAAACAAAGAAACAAAAACCCACCAAGTAGTTATCTTAAATAATGAATACCATAGGGAAAAAATGGTCACTAAAGGAATTAAACTGGTACTAATCTAATATTTTTTCTTTACTAGGAAACAAGGAGAGCAGAATAGAAAACGTTAAAAAAATAGTTTTTAATTCTTTTACTTCTAATGTCATCTTTAATCTCAAATACAAGAGTTACTGACAAAGCAAGGGGATGATTTGGTTGAATTTAAGAGTCTATGTGGGAGCTGATGCTTGGAAAACTTCATTAAGTTTAGGGCTTAGGATTCAATGGAGACTTCACCTAGGTAAAACTCAAGTCTTCACCCAGGCAGGGGAATATAGGTTTAAATGTAGCCCCAGAGGCAATTTGAGATTATTTGGATATGTAACAGGAGTTGAGAGCTGGTGAGCTATAAATAGGGTTCAAAGTGCCATTTGAGCATTTGTTACAGGCCTTAGAGAATGAGCAGGAGAGAAAGAAAGAACATGATCTGGTGTCACCCCAGTTGTTCCAGGAGACGCTGGAAGCTCAGACTTAGAAAAAGCCAAATCAGCACAAAAAGCATGCATCCAGCAGATGAGGTTACTCGGGAAACACTGAAGAGAAGTGGTGAACTTGGAGCAATTAATAGAGCCTTCTACTGCAGCCCTGAAAAAGATGAGGCTGTGCTCAATGGAGTTCAGATAAAGGGGTGACGAGTATGGATGAAAAACAACAACAATAATTTGGGGCTTATCTAAGAAATACTAAGTAAGTTTAGACTACAGAGTTGGATGTCAAGAACTAAATATAACCTTGAAAACACAGTGTAGTGGGTTTATTCTATTTTTCACCTTAATGTTCTTCACTTGGAATCCAGTTCTAATTCTAATTTATTGTGTGTATAATTTAAGGCGGAAAACATTATACACACCTCTAAAAAAGGGGCTGATTAGCTCTGTATGACTTAAATATATATTCTATAACTCTTCAAGTATCACTAACTGCAATTATTAGAGGACTGATAAGTGTAGGTGTCAAAGAAGAAGACTATAGGGTAGTCTTAGAACACCAAAAATGAGTGTTTTAGTGGCACAGGGACAGAGCCTTCCTGCATACAAAGTACAGCTTAGAAGGGCATCACTCAGTGTGCCAAGGTAAGGAAAAGCCAAAGCTAAGGCAAAAGTCAGATCCCCCATCTTCTACTCCTGCTCCAGAAAACTGTAAACAACAGACACAGAGCAAATGGCGGAGACTCTAAAAAGTTCCTAGAGCATGAACACTCATCACAAGTATTCCTATACACAGCAGATGCCTGATTCAAGAGAATCACAATGACCATGCATTTAGAGCAATAGCTTCCCCCCCCCCCCAAGACAGGCTCTCTCACTGGCCTGGACCTTGCCCAAATCTGCTAGGCTGGTTGGTCAGCAAGCTCCAAGGATGTACATGTTACTGCCTACCCAGAACACCACCACATCCTGCATTTTAACATGAGGTCTAGTTATCAAAACAGGTCCTTCTAATTCTAAGGCAAGTCCTTTACCAAATGAGCCAAAAAGCAATAGATCCTTTTACTGAAGCCCTACCCTAGAAAAGGTAAGGATGCTGTTGCAATGGAATTCAGATAAATGAGTCTTGTCACACTTAACCAGTTGTGGTGGTATGAATGAGAATGGCACCCATAGGCTCATATATTTGAATGCTTAGTCACCAGGGAGTGATAATGTTTGGGAAAACTTATGGGAGATGTGTCACTGGAGTTGGGCTTTGAGGTTTCAAACACCTAAGTTAGGACCCTCTTCCCCCTGCCAGCTGCCTATAGGTCAGGATATAATGCTCCCAGCTACTGCTCCAGAGCTATGCCTTTCTGCCTCCTGCCTTGGTGATAATGGACTGACTCTCTGAAACTGTAAGCAACTCCCCAATTAAATGCTTTCTTTTGTAATAATTGCCTTGGCCATTGTATCTATTCACAGTAATATAACAGTGACTAAGACACTAGGGTTTTGTTTGTTTGTTTAATTTTACAGTAATGTAAAAGTAACAGCAATTCAGTAGAAAATATCCTACAAACTTTTATCTTTCCTCAGGTTAGAAATGTTTGGTACAATTATACTCTTGTGATACTGACCAGCTCCCAGTCAGTCATGCCACTATGAGGATAAACAGCTGGTGATCCATAGTGCACCATATAATGCAAAACTATGATATTCAGTAGAGTAAATACATTAAACACATTTTTCTACTTATGGTCTGTTCAATCTATGATAGGTTTATCCAGAAGCAGCTCCATTTAGAAGAGCAGCTACATAGATTAATTCAAAGCATTCTGAAATTGTGAGAAAAGTTTAAGGATGTAGTAAGGGTAGTAAATTCAGTGGGAATGAACAGGTCCAAGTAGGTCCAGTGATATGGAGGCATCCTGTTATAGAAATCAATAAAGGGTCATGGCTTGATCCCTAACTGGAATTAACTCTATATTCTACTACATAGTACAGAAAGACAGGGCTACTGCCACTAATACCATCACTATGTCCATGAACACTATGGAACACAGCTGTCTTACTGTTTCAAAATACATTCTTTTGACACCAGAGATGACACACTTAAAACAGGCATTATGGATAATAGTTCAGCACTATTGTAGAGTTGGAATGTATCTAAGAGAAAAATTCTCTGGGGAGATTATGAATTCTTATACAATAAATAATGAGAGTAATGTTAAATGTATGAAGTCTATCATCCAAGCTCAAATGGCAAACCTCATTACCTCATTAACAGGCCTGCTATAGTTAAAATTAACTTTTCATGGAAAGAATAGCAAAAAAAAAAAAATCATAGGAAAGTTTTTTAATCCTTGAATTAAAATCTGGTACCTAAGCTATAAGAAAACCATTGGAAGTTTCTTCATTAGTGATATCTCAAGGTGTTCACTTTTGATTTTACCATTTTTATTTTGTATTATTATTATTATTTTGAGACAGGGCTTCTCTGTGCAACAGAGATTCATCTGTCCCTGTCTTCCCAAGTGCTGGAATTAAGGCTTGCACAACCATGCCTGGCTAAGTTGATCGTTTTTAATAGGGCTTTTCACTTAGAATTCTTTCTGAGATTATAATAGCTTCTGTAAATGGAAAAAAATAGTTCAAATATTTTAAGATGGAAATAATATAATGGAATCTGGTCAGCATACACTTAAGTGGTTACTAAAAAGTAAGGAAGGGGCATTAATACTAAAAAAAATTTTTTTTTAAATAACACTGTCTACGCTAATTCTTTTTTTTTCTCATGTAATTTAAATGCTGTCAGAACACTGAAGACTTAATTTAGAAGATGGCAGAAATAAAACATTAGAATTTTTGAGTATTTGTCATAGTTAATGGCTAAACTGAGATTCCCACAAAATTTCTCTACTTTACTAAATTCACTGATTGCTGCTATTGCTCTACATGTAAAATGCTTCATGTGATAAAAATCTATACAGAATGGCCTATCTGCTTACTCGCTTATCAGGGTTAGGTAAGTCCTTATTACTTCAGTCTTTTGTACTGAAACGTTAAGTGATATATCAGAATTCTAGTTCTCACTAGTGCCAGGCAACTATCATTAGCTTTCTTTTAGAGACAAAATAGAGCCATATATGAGGATTATATAACTTATTCACATTTACATAGCTAGGATCTGGAGGTAGCTTTAAAATAAACATGTTGCCTTAGCTTCATTTGTTGTAGGAGATCAAAACATACAGTTATAGATTCTCTTTTAAAAAAGGTTAATTTTATTCTTTTTAATTATGTGTATGCATGTGCCTGTTTGGGGATGTGTGCACATGACATACCTTCAGAGGGCATCATTGCCTGGAGTTGGAACAATGGGAGCTATGAGCCTCCAGACAATGGCTGCCAAAAAGGAGTCCTCTCTGTAGGACCAGGACATTCCCTTCACTGCTGAGTCATCTTTCCAGCCTCAAAGATGTAGATTCTTAACCAGTATTTTCTAGACTTGTTACTGTTCTTCATCAAAGTCTCAACAAATCAAACTGCCAGCTAGTGATAACTTTTGCTTAAGTTCTTCAGTGTATAACCTTTCAGAAAAAGAGTAGAGCGCACAGACTTGTACTGCTTCTTAATCAGTCAAACGGTAACCTCTGGGACATTGAATTAGGATAAATAAAAGGCGTCATCAGTTACTAAAGCTATTTCTTCAACAACAATACATACAGAGAACTTACAAATTACCAACCTCATCAGCTTTATTCGGATACAAGGTACAGTTCAATATGCAATGACGGTCATACAGAGAAAGAGAAGTTTTATTGAAAATTATGTGAGCCTTTGGTTAAGGTAGAAATGATCTCTATAACATGGAAAGAATTCTCACATGCATTGCATATACTGCTAGTGTTCGGACATAATATATTTGTGTAATTACAGAGGAAAAGATATAACATGGATTCCTAGAAAGGCCAAGCTGTGGGTTAAAGAGAGGGTTGAACTGTGGGTGAGAAGTGTGAGACAGGCCTGGCTCCTTTCAGACATCTGTCTATGATGCCAAGAACATTGCTTTTATTATAAGTGAATCCTATTTGGATTGCAGACAGGAAAAGAAGCTGTACTGGAATTAACATGGAGAAAACAGACCCAATCTAATGTTTTGAAGTTTTTGTTTCACATTCAAAGCTATACATTTAAACAAAACTAAAACTGCCCTCAAAACAGGGCAAATACCTTGAGTGTAGTTCTGTGCTGCCATTATTGTATTTGCTTCCTCTTTCCCAGACACCGAAGTCAGGAACACGGTAAACTCTTTCTACACAAAATACAAGGTTTTGAATAAAAGAGACCTAAAAGAAAGGAAAAGAAATGAATGTAAGAACACATGTAACACTGAGAAGATTAATTACGTACCTTCTGAAATCCAATATGAACTTATCTTCCACAGTATATTACTGTCTTCTTTTTCTTAAGAAATGGTCTCATGTACTTCAGGCTAATCTCTAACTTTCTGAGAAACCAAGGATGACCTTGAACTTCTCATTCTCCTGCTTCCATCTCCTGAGTGCTATGAGTACAGGCATGTGCCACATGTAGCTTGGGGGATGCTAGGTATTGAGCTCAGGGCTTTGTGCCCACTAAGCAATCACTCTACTGACTAAGCTATATTCCGAGACCCCAAAGTACTTTTCTAACACACTGAATTCTTCTGATTATTACATTATCATGAGTCCTCTGTTATGCTTAGTTTTTCAAATATAATGCTTACTTTTGGTGAGAACCTAATTAGTATTATACAGTATAGAAATAAAATATAAATTGATTCAATGTTCCAACTATAATTCTTCAAAGAGGTAATATCACTGTTTATGAGGGCTATGTATCATAAAAACTAAAACACAGAATGGTGTTTTATATTGGGTAAAATTTAGAAACTAAAAGGTCTATATGAAACACACACACACACACATATTACTGTAAAGCTTTGAAGAGTAAAAGAATAACCTTTTAAAAAGTAAAAAGGATTTTTCTTTTCTGCAAAATTTTGGTCCCATGTTGATCAACCCGGAGTTTTCAGCCCATGCTTCTGGAAAGTAATTTTCCTTTCTGTCCCCTTTCTGTAACTATAGACCCTGATTAAAAGCACAGCCCACAGCTGGAAGCCATGCAGGACAATGGAGACTGGAGAGAACTACCCTGAGATTAACATAAAGGAAGGCACCTAGCAACATGCTAAGCCTTAGCCACTTCAATCTTATAAAGACAGCAACTTTGGATAGTCAATCTGATTTCTTTTCCATTTGTTTTCTTCAATCCTTTCCTGACAATAAAGCTGATATGAATCTTTATTCAACTGGTCACCCTGGTTAACCACCCTTTAACTGGTCACCTAATTCTTCTTTTAGACCTGATTTGTGGATCTTGTATCATTATCACCTTAATTAGGTTTATTAAGGAAAGGATCTCCTTCCTTAATGGTCCAATGGATGGTTTTGGTTTTATGGGGGTTTTTTTTGTTTGTTTGTTTGTTTGTTTTTTGTTTTTGGTTTTTTTGTTTGTTTGTTTGTTTTTGAGACATGGTTTCTCTGTGGCTTTGGAGGCTGTCCTGAAACTAGCTCTTGTAGACCAAGCTGCTCTCTAACTCACAGAGATCCTCCTGCCTCTGCCTCCCAAGTGCTGGGATTAAAGGCATGTGCCACCACTTCCCGGCCTAACTGATGGTTTTAAAACAATAATACAAACCTGTAAACCTGGAAGAAACATCTCCAGGATTTGAGATGATTCACCACTCAAGGGGGGAATGAGAGGACCAGGCAAATATCATGACAGGCCCCTAATAACTCAGTTAAGAACTCAGTTAAGTTGGCCTCAGTTCACAAAGGGCAATCAATCACCAATGCCCCTGACAGTGGATGAGGCATATAAGTCTGGGCTAATACTCCCCAACTCCCCCACCCCTCCCACACACAGATGATAACCAAATAAGGACAAAGCCTAGGACTTGTCCAAGAATAGCAAAGCCATAGATAGCTTTGCCCCCACACCCCGCTACCCCTAACCAATTAGAAATGTAATATGATTACCACTTGAGTAAGTAAACCAATCCTTAGTAGAATGGTCACAATGTTTTTAAAATTCCTGTAGCTGTGCTTAAAAGGAGCTTACCTGTCCCTCTCAGGGGTATCACCATTTTTCACAGATGTGCTACCCCACATGCATGTGATATAATAAATGCTCTTCCTGATTGCATAGTGACTGGTGGTCTTTTGAGGACTTCTCACGGATCCTAACAAAAACCAATTTCTTCTGTATGGCCCTGAGTGGTCTTTTCAAAATCTTTGGAGGTGATACTCTCCAATTCACAAATCACTAATGAAAGCAATGAGGTCACTCGTTTTCTACGTCATTTAGTCAAAAATGTTTTATGAATCTTGACAGTGTCCTGATTTTCACAGTGGACCTCCATGCCCTTCTTCACCTACCCAATCTCCTCACGTGGCTCTCTGTATTAACTAACCTCTGGTTGGTGCCTTGGGCCCCAAGTGGTTCAATCATGTTACTCTTGTTCATTTCTAACTGAAACACTTTTTTCAAAAAGTCGATTATTCTTCAACCTCAATTCTAAAGGATGAACTAGCCAATAATTCTCATTGTTGTTAAAGCCACAACCACAACTCCTTATTTTTTTGTTTCATATGTCACCCTCCTATCACCCCTAATTAGTATCCAGATCTGCTCCTCTTGTTTGTAGCTATAAAGTACCACAAGCTTTCAACCAGCTTCTTCCCCTTAACACATTCTTCAGCATAATTTGAAAATGAGATATTTCTGCCTATGTATTTCATCTTATGTGACTATTCATATGCCTTATTAGAAAAAAATTATGTGATGATTATAGAGCTCTCTCTAAAATCTTGCTGGAATTATCATATATCTAACAGTATTGCTTTTAAAATTACATTAAAATTTCATGTGTGCAGGAATGAGTATGTATTTGTGAGTATATGTGTATGAGTGCGTGTGTATCACAACATGAATGTGGAGGACAGAGAGCAACTGTGAAAGTAGAAAACCATTTCCCACTATGTGAGTGCCCAGTATCCAAGTCAAGCCTTTAGGCAAGGTTGCATGTGCCTTTACAAACTGAGACATCATGCTATAACTCTCTCCCTTATTTTAAAGACACAGAATACTGCTGAATTGTGAAAACTGCATGCTGCCTTAGAGTTGGGACTACAGGAATAATACATCACTATACCATGTGCTCTTTTTAAATAAAAATGACTTTGAGACCTCAAATATACCTAATTGCAAAGATTTCTGCAAATATAGAGCTACAGACCTGCACAACTCCCCTGACTCAGAAATATAAATCCTCTTGGTTTTCACGTGAACAGATGAGAATCCAGGCTCTCAGGATTCTCAATAAACTGAATGAATAGAGAAAATGTGATCCAGATAAACAGAATACTATTCAACTGTGGTGATATATTGTTTATAATGTAATAAAGTCACTGAAGATCAGAATGTAAAGCTAGCCACAACCATAGACGCTGGGCAGTGGTGGCACACACCTTTAATCCTAGGACTCAGGAGACAGATCTCTGTGAGTTCAAGGCCACCAGAGCTACATGAGAGTGAATCAGTCTAAAAGAGAAACAGAGCTCATGCCTTTAATCCCAGTACTAGAGAGGAATTCAGTATTTGGCATTAGAAGAATTACTTTCCAGCCATGTTGAGGGCAGGATTGCCTCAGCCTTGGTGGAGGTAAGAGCCCTCTGGCAGCTTGGATGCTTTGCTTTTCTGATCTTCAGTTTGAATCTCAATATCTGTCTCTGGGTTTTTATTATTTGTGGTACATCCAACAATTAAGAAAAACAAAATTACACAATTTCCAGGAAAAAATGGATGAAACTGGAGCTCTTCATGCTAAGTGAAATGTTATTCTAGATCCACAGAGAAAAATATTGCATGTGCTCCCTTAAAAAGGAATTGAAAGCAGAAGGAATTCTTGGGAAGAGGATGAAGATCAGTGGAAGGGGAGGAGGAAAGGAGAGAATAACAGGGATGAACTAGAACAAACAAACGATTTGGATGTATGAGAACACCTAATGTCACTCATCATTTAAAGAGAGAAAACTGGGTATCCAAGGAGACAAGAGGTTGCACAAATATGAGAGCAAAGATCACAACCACTTCCTAGGTATTCTTTGTATTAACTGCAATGCTGATTCTCTATATACCTGTTCTAGTTTCATTCTGTTGCTATGGTTAAAAAAAGGAAAAAGAAAAAAAAGAAAGAAAGAAAGAAAGAAAGAAAGAAAGAAAGAAAGAAAGAAAGAAAAAAAAAAACCACTACCAACAAAATCACTCTGACCAAAAAAAGCAGCTTGGTGAGTAAAATGTTTTGTTTTGTTTTGGTTTTTTGGGGTCGAGGGTTAAATTTCCAGGGTACAGTTTATCATTTAGGAAAGGATCAGGAACTCAAAGCAGGAGCCAGAAGGAAGGGGTCATGGAAGAACTCTACTTGTTGGCTTGCCCTTTGGGGAGGCTCACTCATGCCTAGCTAGCTTTTTGTTATATAGCCCAGCAACACCTACCTGAGGAATGATACCATTCATAGTGGACTGGCCCTCCTAAGTCAATTAATAAACAACACAATGCCTCACAGACATGGCCAGTTCCCCAACTGAGGCTTTTATCTAGGTCTAGTCAATTAAGGCTAACCAGGACAGTGTCCAAAGTTATTTGCTCCCTTTCCATCATCATATCAATTTCTGATGAGTGTTAACTTGCTTTGAAGGTATATACCATTGAAACCTATTTTTGGAATAAGCTCATCAAAAATATTTCTAATATTAAAAACATCTTCACCATTCATCTCTAAGTCATGGTTCTGGCATTTTCTGAATGCATTATAAATATCTTTAAAAAATAATTGAAATATCTGAAATACTTTGACAATAGAGTCCAAATGAAATAATAACATTTTAGGATATAATTTAATGTGGCTAACATTATGCTAAAAGCAATATCTTAAGGCTTTATAAATTTTAATGTTGTGATAATAATAAACTGCTAAATTTGATATTAAAAGGACCTCAGAGTGAATAAACAAGTATAAGTTTATAATTTGCTTGCCATTAAATCCAAAAGCATTATGTGTGAGTGTGTATATATAAAGCATTCATTACAATAAGCCAAATTAATCAGCATGAATAGTAACTCCTCATTCTGAGTTAGGGTCTCACAACTATCTATGGGTAGATGGTTAATCCTTATAAAATTCAGTTAGGAAGAATAAATTCTAGGGCTCCATAGCACTAGAAATAGTAAAATGACTATAGTT